CTCACATTATAAACGGATCATTGTCTTGAGTGTCAGAAAAATAAAATAGTTATATCATAGAATGACAAAAAAAAAAAAAAAGGTAAATAGTCTATTATACCCAAACAAACATTATTGTCACCATGTAATCTATACAATAATGCACGTATAACAATTTTCATTATTGTACTTGTAAAATGCAGGTCGCAGTAGTCTTTATGTACTTTTTTTTTGTTCGTAGGTCATCAGGTATCTAGCTATAGTTAAATGTTTTAGACAAAAATATTTAATTATTTAAAGAAAGATTTTTGATAATTCCAATTTCTAACAAAATAGAATTTGAATAAGAAATACGATAGTGATCATCGATCTTAGGTAGGTCACTATACTGGGCTAGACATGCATTTATAGAATAATAGTGAATACATGATAAAACTACAGTGATCTTAAATTTATTTCGACTTTTTCGGTCGGAGGAGGCCTATTTCAAAAAAGATAAAATCGAATTCAAGAATTTTAACAAACTTTCTATAGATTTGGGTTCCTGAACGTTAAAAACTTTTAGTCTTTTTTTTTAAATAAAATTCAGCTATTTTCTTAAAAATGACCTCTCCAACCGAAAAAAATGGCAATCAATTCCAGACTACTCTAGTTTTACCATGCATTCACCATATTTAGACCAGTGTAAAGCTGTACGTAAGACCTGTGCACTATTACTTTTGCATCTCTAATTTGAATGCATAAAAAGATTCATTATAGAATTCTTTGTATCGAAAATCTGGCTTAAAATTCTACTATTAAGGAAACAACTCGAACTGTAATTATCCGTTTGAGATCATGTAGGGCCCATTACGAGGTCTTAGTATGACTAGAAACAATTGCAGTGCACTCCTACAATAGCTTGAAGCTGAATTATGACCACTGTATTTGAATTTTCAACTCACTTAATGTATTTAATTGGAAATTAAATAATAGAAATTTGACCTGAAAATTTATTCATAGATAGATCGAATGACTCTTAGAAAATCTTGAAAATTTCAACCGAAATGAATATTTCTTTGTTGAGATATTGAATCTCCACAAAAAAAAACATGATTTGCAAGAGACATATCACTAAAGAAAACCAGTTTACTTCAAAATTCAATATGTTGATAAAGGAATATTCTTTTCGATTAAAATTTTAGGTTGGAATTCTGTTATTTAATTTTTTTTATTAAATATCTATAAATGGATTGAAAATTCACTACAACTACTATCATTGGACCGCAACTATCCATAGGCACAAATTCTTGTAGATTTTCTCTAGTCCTATCAAGACCTTCTTATGAACCCAATATGAGCTCAAATAGCGGATGACAATTAGAAATTTTCTCATAAGATCAAAAATATAAATAGCAAACGATTTGAAATATTGTTCATATTAGATTTTTCTATTCATAACACAAGATAATATTTATTATTAATTGATTTAGATCGCTTATTGACAACATCATTTAGTAATAATAATAATAATAATACAAAAACTGTATCGGATAATTTATCCAATGAATCATCAACAAATAGTTCAGGTTTTCATTCAAAATCAACAACAACTATATTCAATAATGAATATAGTCCGAGATTAGCCGAAACAGTTGAATTACCATTTTCAGGTAAATCAAAAAAACGAAAATAGAAAATTATGAGAACAAAAAAGAGCATCAAAATCAAATTTTTCTTTTTATTTTAGGTGTATATCCTATGTACAAATGCCAATATCAAATGAATGTGTGATGTAGTTGTGTTTGTGTTTTTTGTCTTTTTTTCTTTTCTTTTTTTTAATATTAAAATTGTTTATTTTTCAACTTATTTTTTTCTGTTTTGCTATTGCCGATGTTTGAAAATATTCATGTTCTTCAACAAAATCCATTATAATTCTATCACGTGCTATTTTAAATATTGGATATGAACTATAAAAAATAATTAAATAACCAACTAATATTTGTTCACAATGTCGACCACATGCAATCCATATAATATGAAGTATAACAAGTATAACAGAAAAAATAAATTGAACTGTTAAAAAATATGTTGGATCACCAAATAAAAGATAAAGTATTGAATGAGATTTTGATTGAGGATTAGCAGCATTACTTAAATGTTGTATAGCAATATAATATTGATTATTTGAAGATAATTTAACAACACTTCCACGTGTATATGAATTACATTCAGATGACCATTCATTAATTGTGTCTGTTCGAATATTTGATTGTTGACGCCATTGACCAAGATGTGTTGCTATACGATGAAGAGTTGTTTGAAGTTTAACTGGAAATAAAAAGGCACTATGAGTTACAAATGTACCTAATGTCAATATGAAAATTAATGATTTTAATGGTTGACTATCCATCGAACGTACATGAATATCTAAAGTAAATAATAGAGTTTATTAAATTTTTTTTCTAGTTTAACTGGATGAAAATTACGCTTCCTCTATAAAATCCTTTGAAAATTTATGTATTGAATATTATATTAGAGTTTGAATTTGCTATTTAGATTAAACAAAAGAATTTTTAGTTATTTTATGTTTGTTAATATAAGAATATTTTTTGATTAAATTATATAAAATATAAAATGATTCTATACTTTCGTTGTAAATATAATTAAATGTTTATTTTATATAACTTAGCTATGAGTTTTAGTTTTTCTATTTGAATGAATACAATTTCAAATATGTTTAACTTTATATGACAGACAAAATTAATCAGAATTTTTAAAAAATTTAAAAATTGAAAAAAACAAAAAACGATAACAATAAAGAACTGATCATAAATTATTTTTAACTGAAATCTAGAAAATTATAGAGTTCGCGAATGTATTGAATTGAAATCTAATTCGTCTCAACAAGTTTCGGTTAACAGAAGAAGAATCTTTAAGCTTATACTTTTTTCGTAGTATTTTTAATCAATGTTTATTTGTTTCAAAATGAAGGTGTTTTAGCTTATTTATTCCCTATGATAGAATAATAATTATCTTCTCTCAGACTTGAATATTAAATGTTACTTCACTCGTTCATAAAAATATTTTCGAAAATCATTTTCCTATACTGATACAGAAGAAGTCATTGATGCATACTTTTCTTAATGTAAATGAAAATTATTTTGTAACTTTACGTTTAATTAAAAAAACGAATTCTGCTTAAGTTCAATTTCGTCTAGGACATATACATATAGTCAATATTACGAATCATTTTTTCATAATTGAACTGAATCTAAGATGTCAATTGTCATTGTATTTTTACTCAGAATAATTTAATATATGATTAAATGATGATAGTACGATTAGGTTTATCTTGACATCTAAATTTTGAAAAGATCTACTCGAATTACTTTTCATTGGAGAAAATAAACTCTTCCTAAATATATATAATGATATTACGAGTTTTAATACTTATACGAAATAATTTATAAATATATAATTTAAAATCTAAATTTAAATTACATAGCCTATATTTGAAAATGCAAAAAAAAACCCCCGATTCTTCAAGTTTAATTTACCCAACATTTTAATTGGAATTAAATCGAATAGAATAAATGATGCAATTGTTCGATAAATATTTAAAATTATTCTTCGAACAATAGTTGGCCATAAATCATCGGCTTCTCTTCTAGCTTGCGCATAGAATGTTGAACATTCATGTATTTCAACTTTTTCTTCTGTTACAGATGACCATCGAGACCATGCAATCAAATTTGACGATGATGATGATGATGAATTAATAACGGGAGTAATTTTTCGAGGTTGCATAGAATTTGATGATCGATGAGAAGATCGACCTAATATAGTTGTTGCTAGTGAAGATGTTGATGATGATGATGTTGAATGACGATGTGGTTTACGTGTTACGGTTGATTGTTTTGAAAGATTATCAGGTGATCGTTGAAATAAATTAGGTTTATCAAGAAATGTTATAATAATTAAATGACTAAAAATTAAAATGAAAATTGTTAAAGTTAATTGTTGAGTAATAAATGTATGATATGAAATCCAAGCTATAAATGTAATATAAATTAAAATTATCATTATAACCAATAATTTACTTAAACGAATTCTTAATTTTTGATTTCGTTGTACTAAATATGGTAATTTTTTTCTTAGTGTCCATATAAATGCAATTATTAATTCAATTGAACCGATGCCTACTAAACTCATATATAAATATTGATTTATTAAATCTGTATTAATAGATTTGCTTGTTATTGAATAATAATTATTTGAAAGAGTAACCAAATGAGTCTGTTCATAATTTGTTTGTTCAAGTACTTGAGTAGAAAAAATTGTTTCTTTATTTAAATTATTTGAATTAAGCCAAAAAACTGTATGATATAATAGAATATAAATAGCATTTAAATGAATTAAATTTTGTAAAGCAATATATAAACAATAAGTAAGATGACCATCAAGTCTAATAGCTGGTATTTCTTGATGTAATCGACTAGTTACTTCAGTTTCAGTATCCGGTGCTAATTTACCTATAATACTTGTCATTTTATTTATTATAACACGTTCACGCATTGAATATATACTAACACGATTCGTTGTTGATGTCGAAGAAGAAGAATTATTTGTTGTAGACATCGATGATAATGAACCATTAATGCTACTTGTTGATTTTGAATCACCCTGACTTCGACGATGATGCATTACCTTGATTTATTAGTTGTCTTTCTATAGATCCCAAATTATATTGAAATATGTGCATATAAGTAAATGATATACATGTGCAATGAAGCACAACAAAAAAAAAAAAGTCGAAAGAGAATATCGAAAAGGGGAGAAAGAAAGAGAAAAAAAAAAGAATAAATGAAACGAAATATATTTTTATTCATCATTGTTTTGACAAATGATTACCACAAAATATTGATTGCAACAATAACAACAAAAAAAAAAATTATGATATAAATTATTAATTGTAGTTAGTTGAATATTTAAAGTATGCTATACTAAATGATTATAGGAAAACGTTAGAAATAAATTGAAAGTATTTAAAATAATGAATAATATTATTAATAAAACAAAATTACTCATAAAAAATAACTTTTGATTATCTTGTGAATTTTTAAATAAAAATTGAAAATATAAAAAAGAATCATCTACCATATGATGTAAAAAAAACAACAAAACGTTGATCCATAATGACTTTTTTTTTCTATGACTCACCCTTGATGTACAAGGTTTGAATGATCATTGTCATGATATTATTTTTTTTTCTTCTTCAAACTATATCGAATAATATCAATTATTTATTATCTTGAGAAGTTTGTGACAAATACAAAAGGTCTTAACATCCTGTATCCTTGTAATGACATTCAAAAGTTAATATTCATATTCCTCTAATAATCTTAGTATTAGATATGTCTATTACTTCAAAGAGACAAATGATACTTCCGTTCTGTCTTTTTTCACATTCTTATTTTGCTTTCTCACGTATTCTTTCTTTCTTTTTTTATCTTTTTACGTAAGTGTGCAAACATTGCATTCATTTTTTGTGTAAGTTTTATTACTATCAAATATCTT